AATTAGATAATGGGGCTGATGCTGCCTCAGGAAGAGCAAAATGAAACTGCCTATGGGCCAGGTGGGATCGCAGACCTTTCCTTAGGGAACAAAGGTGCATCAGTCAATTAGAGCTCGCTAAGCTTTTTGGTGTGGTGCTGTGGATTAATGCAAAGTTGAAGGTAGAGTTTTGGAAAAGTGCCAGATTTTCAGAATTGAGTAAGGTAGCAATAAACATTCTGAATCTTTAAAAACATTTCCTTACCCAGTAGGACCAGGTCCCTGGATATTTCCTCCTTATATCTGTCCTTTGGGGTAGGGGATTGGGTGTCTCCATCCCTCTTGAGTTGGGATCATGCTGCTGGAGGACATGGATCCCTGAAACAAGAAGCACATGTAGCTCAGCTAGTGGCCTTAGATCAGGGATAAATTTGAGGGGACTAGGGTCATTTTGAGGGAGATGGATGGCAGGTCTAGGGCTCTGATAGTGATCTTTTACACATATATAAGCAGCAAATATGAAAAATTATTGGGCAGAAACCCATGTGCTTCAGAGTTTAAGAGCCAACAGGAGGGGGTAAAAATTGCCTAATCATGTAAATGCACATAAAGGAATATGAAAATTTCAGAACCTTTAATAGACTCCTATGAACTCAGTTATATTGTGTACATTAAGAGCCAGGAATAAGCAACCAACTGGAATAATAGAAGAGGGATTTAAAAAGTGTGTGGAAACATTTTGTTTTCCACAGCCTTTTTGAAGCCCCTTTAGTGTGTCCAGGGAAGAGAGGGTGGGTAACTGGGAAAGCTTACAGAAAGCAATCACTGAGCTGACCCTGAGGGACCAAAGGAAGGCTGTCCAAGGTGGGGAGGCACCATGAACAAAAGCACCAAGTCAAGAAAGCCCTTACTGAAGGTGGTCTGGGCTGAGGGGATGAAGGATGAGGGAGTGGAAGGCCTAGGAATCCTGGCTGAGGTCAGAATGTAAGAAGCCTCAAATGCTAAGTGCTCTACATTACCTCACTAATGGAAAGGGCAATATGCAAGAGGGAGGTTGGCAGAAGACTGATGAATAGAGGTAAATAGTGATACAACCTTAGAACAACAGTGTTCTGTGCGCAGAGACAGGATGGATGAGAATGGGAGAAAGAGTGGGATAAATACTATCAAACATCTTAAGACAATGAGTTGCTAGGCCTGGGGACCCAGAACCATAGTCTTGGACACCATGGTCATTTGGCATAACACAGTCCACAGACAATGTTCTACATCCTACTTTGGTGAGTAGCAGCTGGGATCTTGTAAGCTAATGAATGGCTGTGGGTTAATGTGCCAGAATGAAAGCCATTTGAATTGCAAGGTCGGCGGGTCAAGCTCATCAGTGGTTCCTCAGAAACCCTATATAGGGTCATTATGGGTCAGAACTGACTCAGTGACACAACATTGGTCTTTTTCTATGTGTAAAAGAGTGATGAGAACTGAAGATGCTTGGAATCAACAAACTAATGGAACATATGGACTTAAGTCTCAATGACTCAGACCAGGAAAACTAGAAGATGCTTGGGTACTGCTACCACCAGGAACAAGACTTGAAAAAGGAAGTTACAAAACAGGGCAAACCTAGTTGGGGAAAATAAATGTTACCTCTGTGATTAAGGTGGTTTCCCCTTTGTGTTCTATATTTTACAAGTTTTCTTTAGCGGACATGAATTATACTTTTATAAAAGGTGGAAGCGCCAGTGGAACACTGAAGGAAAAGAAAGAAACCAGCTAGGCATAAATGCCAGCAGTTTACTGTGCCAATAGCTCTCACATTTTCATTACGAAGAGGAGGTTTAAAGGGCATATGCAATGGGATTCAAAAAGCTTGTGGAAAGATGGAGTGAAGAGAATGAAATTTTTCCACGAACTTTTTGCAGGTTCAAAGACACAGGCAGACTATATTTACAAATGACTAAGAAAGGAGCTACATTTTTGTGATCAAGGGCTGAAAGCCCATGAAAATGTTTCAGTTCTGCTAACTAAAAAAAAAAAACAAACTCAGGTCTAGTAAAGAAGCGTCAGAGTTTAATGGACTGAATTGTCCTGCATCCGCCACTTACTAGCAGTGTGCCCCTTAGCAGATCACACAGCCTCTGTAAAGCTCATTTGTAAAGACAGGTAACAGGTCCTTGTAGATATGTGTGAAGATTAAAAGAATGCAGGTAAAGCAGATGGTCCATAAATACGCAGTTTACAAAAATTACCTATAATCTGTAATAATAGTTCTTTGGAGATGCTTAACCAAAAGAAGAGATAACGTCCAAGAGGGATTCATCCCAGAAATGCTAAATTGGTTCAATATAAATCAGTATAATAAAGGGAAAACAACCACATAGTCATCTCAACAGATGAGAAAAAGCACTTGACAAAATCTAACATCCTTTCATATAATGCCTCAAGAAGTTAAACATGGAATTACCAATGTTAAGCGCTGTCTAGTCAGTTCTGACTCATAATGACTATATGATACAGTTTCTGAGGGTTTAAATCTTTGCAGGAACAGAAAGTCTCATCTTTTTCCTGTGGAGCAGCTGGTGGGCTCAAACCTCGTGGTTCTATTTCTAGGTATATACTCAAGAAAAGGAGTCCTGGTGTGGCACTGTAGGATAAGCAATGGACTGCAAAGTCAGTGATTCAAACTCAATAGCTGTTCCTTGGAAACCCTACATAGGTTCGCTATGAATCACATCTGACTTGATGGCATTTACCAACTCAGGAAAAATGACATGTCCACACAACATAACAGTATTATTCAGAAGAGCTAAAAAGTGGAAGCAACTCAAATGCCAGTCAACTGAGGAATAGATAAACAAGATGAGTCCTATCCATACAATGAAATATTCAGCCATTAAAATGAATGAAGGCCACATATTCTATGATTCTAATTTGTATGACAGGTCCAGGAATATACAAATCAATCCAAGACAAAAAGTGGTTGTCAGGCTGGGATGAAAGAATGAGATGCAATTATAATGGATACATGGCATTTAAAGAGTGGTGATAACTGCAGTTTAGTGATGATACTAAAAACCACTGAGGTGTATGCTTTAAAAAGGTGAAGGCAATGGTGAAGAAATTATATCTCAATAGTAATAACAAATCATAGAGGTAATAATCCTCAGAAACAGCTCGGGGATAAAACGTAAACACCTCTGGGAACTGGGTCTTAGGACATACTTTATGTTATGTTACTATTGTACCTAATTACTGAAACAATAGAGCTACTTGAAAACTCAGAATTTCCCACAGCTATCACAGCTCCCCTGGCTTTGAGGCAGATAGGGCAGCAACAAGTCTCACAGATGGTGTTTATTGTGTGATTACAGTCCACAGGCTTAAAGTAATTAACTTAACGATGTACCTCAAGAACCCTGGTACCAATGTGACTGATTTGCAGCCTCCTTATTCTAGCTATGGCTCTGGTAGCTGCGAGACGCAAGGTCAGCAGTTCGAAACTGCCAGCGGTTCCGCAGGAGAAAGATGAGGCGGTCTGCTTCCGTAAAGATTTACAGCCTTGGAAACCCTGTGTAGGGTCACTATGAGTCGGAACCGACTCCACGGCACATAACAAACTGATACATAGTTTCGTTATTCTAACTATGTAAACTGATTTGTAGCCTTGTTGCCCTGACCTGTTAGCTGTTATCTAGTCTCCCTCTTAGCGAACTAACTTGCTACTTTTGCTTCTGTACTCCCTGCTTCAGCAAATTCCTTTAGATCAGCCCCTAGACCCTGAGCCAGAAATGTAGCCTATATAAACTAGCAGCCAGCTCCTTGCGACACGGCAGACTTAGAAGAAGCTATTGTCTCCCTGCCGTCCGGCTATAGCTGTCTGTTGTGCCAATAAAATTCTGGAAATAGGACATTATAGTGGTCATCATCCTTCTTTGGGACTTGAACCCGTAACAATTACAATGTATCTTATTGTTATTTTGTTGCTGTCAAGTGCCGTAGTCGATTCCGACCCACAGCGATCCTGTATAGGATTTCCAAGGAGCAGCTGGTGAGCTTAAACCACCGAACTTGTGGAAATCATAACCACCCAACCTGCTTTCCATGATCTCTGGGGAAGACAACACCAAATGCTGGATGTGAAACTGCCTTTCAAGAATGACAGAATAACAAATACAGACTTCATGATCAGTGAGGACGGCACTGGCCTCGGATGAAGAGTATAAACACATTTGTTTTCTGTAACGGCGTTCAAGGTGCTTTCACTTTATCTGATATCTACAATCCTTAGTGATTACAACGGTAATTGATTGTCTTTTCCTTCAGGACGAAACTTGAGAGAATGAGCGGGTACCTGGTAGATTACGACTCCCCTGAAGCTTCCCAGGTTTCAGTCTGACGACTGAACCCGCCCTCAAACTCCCGAGGAACTCATGGACTCCTGTCGCGGGCTTCCAAGCATCCCTAGCTGCTTCCAGTGCTGGAGGGGAGAAACAACAGAGGCGACTTGGGCACCTCATTTTCCTTCCCAGGGCCCACTCTCCCTACTCTCGAATGTCATCCTTCCGTCAGGCAGATCAGGATATGGGGAAGGACATTCCAGGCCTGACGCCTTGAAAATTTTTGGCCCTAAAATTAGCTTTTTTTTTTAAAAGGTTAACCCCAACCATGTGTGTCTGAGTTACACAGCAGTATTAATGAACAAGTCTGAACAAGAAGCCTGATCGCCTGCAAACCGCTCCACCACGCCTCACCTCCCGCCACCAGCATTTAGGACCCACCTCGTGCTACCGCCTCCCAGCAGACGTCTGGGCGTCACCGTCGCTCCACAGCAGCTCCAGCCTCGACTCTAGGTCTGCTCCTCCTGGACGCTTCTTCCTTCCCCGCCTCTCCCCTCGGAGGCCCGCTCTGTGCTGGCGGTACTGGACCCTGGGAGCTCTAGCAGCCTTTCACTCCGTCTCCCCAGTCACAGCCAGACGTCGATTGGGGAGCCCGTGGTGCAACCACCGACTAGGCATAAGCAGAACCCCAGGTGCAAAAGCCGTTGCCGGGCTTCCAAAGAAAGTGACCGGTAACAAGCGATGTTCAGAAACTGCAAGACATTCTCTCGCGCCAAAGAGGGCGCGCCTTGAAAAGCAGTATTTCCGGTCATGCGCACGTGCCTCATCGCAGCCTCGCAGAACTCCATTTCCCAGAAGTCTCTGCCAGGCTTAGTTCCTCGTCAAAGCTTTTTTTCTGTCCCAACGGTTTGTGATCCGCACACCCTTTTGGGCGATACTTCGTATAGAGACTTCCTCCTGTTCTTTTTTCCCTCCAGAACCTATTTACGATAATGCTTCGTTGCAGATATATTCTAGGTACACCGGAATGTGATGGCTAGAGCCCCTGCAACAGGAAGCGACTGTGCCGCGCCGGATCCTGGGAATAGTGTTTTTTTTTTTTTGTACTCCAAGAGCGCAGTCTCAAACCTATATTGGACCTGGTGGGCTAATTAGTTGGTGTTGCCCATCCGGTATGTTGCAGGGATCTTTTGGTTTTGTGGCTGTGGTCAGTCCGTGAGGTAGTAAGACACTGATCATTGCTGATAAAAGTTGTGTTATGGGTTTGTTTGTATCCCCCCAAAAGATTTTTAGGAGTCCTGGTGTGTCGCTGTACTGCAAAGTTGGCTTGAACCTCAAGGTTAGCGGTTCAAGCTCACTAGCTGCTGCTGCTTCTCTCATACTTCAGACATATTACTAGGAGGGACCAGTCCCTGGAGAAGTATATCATGCTTGGTAACATGGAGGATCAGTGAAAAAGAGGAAGACCTGAATGAGATGGATTGATACAGAGGCAGCAGCAATGGGCTCGAGAGTAACAATTGTGAGGATGGCGCAGGGACTAGGCAGTGTTTCATTCCGTTGTGCATAGGTTCGTTATGAGTTGAAACTGACTCGATTGAACCTAACAACAAACAATCCTGGCAGACACAAGAACTGAGGCAGTGTAACAAGGCCAGCTGATGCTAATCCCATAATGACTACAAGGTGGTAGCAAAGAGTTTCTGGCTTTAGCCCAGGGCTTTGAAACCTGACAAGATCCCTAAAATCACGTGGGAATCTTGTTAAAATATAGCTTCTGTATATCTGGAATGGAAAAGCAAATTCTCAGCAGGGGAGCAAACCAGAATGAGCCAGTTTGAAGACTTGTGAAGTGCTCTAGTCGGTTCTGACCCATAGCGACCCTGTATAGGGTTTCCAAGGAGCGGCTGGTGAGTTTGAACTGCCAGTCTTGCGGTTCAAACTGACTGCAGTCTAGTGCATTAACCCACAGCGCCACACCAGGACTCCAGTTTGAAGTCTCAGTCTCTTTAAAAATAAATAAATGTTTCTTTTATGTATATTTCATTGGTATTCTATTTAAAAGACACTTTCTGCCCTTGGCTCCAAGCTGTTTGCCCAGCTCCTCCTCTCTTTGCAACCTGAAGATTATTATTGTCGCCATAAGGCTCCTGCTACTTGGGAGCTATCCTCAGGGTCGGAGAGAAATGGTCCCCAGGACAGTCAAAGAGGAGGGTGAGAAAGAATAATGGGCGATGCTACCAGTACTGCAGGCAGCTCAGAGTGATGCATTTCCTTCTTCTAGACTCACAGACTTTTCTTCATCTAACATCTGCCTTAGTCTTGAGATGACACATGAAGCAGCAGTTTCACTCTCCAGCAGTTGCAATTTTACTCATGGCCACTGGGAGGCACACCTCCCCTTAGGCTGCACACTGATTCACCTGGAAGTTACAGGGGACAGCAGCGTGCAAGAAAGGGAAACAGGAGGGTAGGGCAAGTAAGCGGGTCAGATTTCTCTTTTGGGCAGAGTAAAGCACAGCTTCTGTTGCACCTGCCTCTGGTTTGAGCCTGATGGTGCAGGGCTGGGCTCCTGGACAGACAGAACTGTCAGCTGGAACTGGCTCTTGCCCTAAGCAAGTTTTAAGAACCTGTTGCTGGTTAGCAGAGGAAAGATGAAGTAAGTGAGAGACACAGGAAGGAATGCAATGTTAAAGCGAATAGAGGTAAATACTGTTAACTAATGGTACTTGGAAGGGACTTCCATCTTATAATGAAGCAAAGTGTATGACTTGCCGAATATAAAACTGATGTTCTGCTCTGTAAACCTTCCCTCAATTTCCAATAATAAAAAAACTCTGTTCACGTTGAATCAATTCCGACTCACAGCGAGCCTAGAGGACAAAGTAGAACGACCCTACAGGGTTTCCTAGACTGTAAAATTAATGGAAGCAGGCAGCCACATCTTTCTCCGGCAGAATGGCTGGTGGGCTCATACTGTCAACGTTTCGGTTACCAGTTGAGCACTTAACCACTGCATTAATACCGAGAGCAAAGCTACTATCATGGAATCAATTCCAACTCATAGCAACTACATAGAACAGAGTAGAGCTAACTGTCTCATAGGGCTTCCAAGCCTGCAGTCTTTACGGAAGCAGACTACCACATCTTTCTCCCAGGGTGTGGACTGGTGGGTTTGAACATACATATATATACACACACACACACACACACACGCAAAATGTGTATGTATATAGAATCCTGGTGTGGCGCTGTAGGATAAGCATTGGACTACAAAGTCAGTTTGAACTGCAAGGTTGGAGTTTCAAACTCACCAACTGCTCCTTGGAAATCCTATACAGGGTCTCTATGAGTCAGAAATGACTCAGCCCTTAACAACAATGCTATTGTTGTATTGTTGTTAGGTCTTGTCAAGTAGGTGCTGACTCACAGAGACCCTGTGAGCAACAGAACCAAACACTGTCCAGTCCTGCACCATCCTCACAACTGTTAACGTTTGAGCTCATTGCTGCTACTGTGTCAATTCATCTCATCTGGGGTCTTCCTCTTTTTCTTAGACCCTCCACTTTACAAGCATGCTATTCTTCTCCAGGGTCCCTCCTGATAACATGTCTGAAGTATGAGAGACAAAGTCTTGCCATCCTGGCTTCTAAGGAGTATTCTTACTGCACTTCTCCAACACAGATTTGTTCTTCTGACCGTCCATGGTACTTTTAATATTCTTCTCCAACACCATAATTCAAGTGCATTGGTTCCTCTATGGTCTCCTTTATTCACTGTCAGACTTTCACATGCTCATGATGCTACTGAAAATACCATGACTTGGGTCAGGCACACCTTAGCCCTCAAACTGGTATCTTTGCTCTTTAACACTTTAAACAGTTTTGCAGCAGATTTGCCTAATGCAATATGTCATTTGATTTACTGACTGCTGCTTCCATGAATGTTGATTGTGAATCCATACAAAATGAAGTCTTTGACAATTACAATCTTTTCTCCAATTATTATGATGTTATTTATTGCTCCAGTTGTGAGGATTTTGTTTTCTTTACATTGAGATGCAATCCATATTGAAGAGAAGTGTAGTCTTTGATCTTCATCAGTATTTCAAGTCCTCTTCACTTTGAGCAAGCAAGGTGTGTCATCTGCATATGGCAGGTTGTTGATGAGCCTTCCTCCAATCCTGATGCCACGTCCTACATATAATCCAGCTTCTTGGATTATTTGCTCAGCATACAGATTGAATTACTAAAGTGTAAGGATACAACCCTGGCACACACACTTTTCCTCATTTTAATCCATTTAGTGTCTCCTTTTGTTCTAACACTGCCACTTGATCTATATACAGGTTTCTCATGAGGACAGTTAATTGCTCTGGAGTAGCCATTATTCACAATATTATCCATAGTTTGTCATGATCCACACAGTTGAAACCCTTTGCATAGTAAATAAAGCACAAGTAAAAATCTTTATGGTATTCTCTGCTTTCAGCCAAGATCCATTTGTTGTCAACAATGTCCTAGTTCCATGTCCTCTTCTGAATCCGGCTTGAATTTCTGGCAGTTCCCGGTCGATGTACTGTTGCAACCCTTTTTGTATCATCATCAGCAAAACCTTACTTGCGTGTGATATTAATGATATTGTTCGATGATTTCCATATTCCATTGGGTCACCTTTCTTTGGAGTGGGATTTTTTCCAATTGGATGGTCAAGTAGCTGCTGTCTTCCATATTTCTTGGCATAGATGAATGAGTGCCTCCAGTGCTGCATCAGTTTGTTGAAAGAGTTCAATTTGCATTCTATCAATTCCTGGAGCCATGTTTTTCACCAATGCCTTCAGTACAACTTTTATTTCTTCCTTCAATACCATTGGTTCATGATCATATGGTGGTGGTGGTGATGTGCTGTGGAGTCAGTTCCAACTCATAGCAACCCAGTACAAGGTTTTCGAGGCTGTAAAATCTTTACGGGCGCAGAAAGCCTCATCTTTCTCCCACGGAACAGGTGGTAGTTTCGAACTGCTGATCTTGCGGTTCGCAGCCCGATTTGTAACCACTACGCTACCGGAGCTCCTTACTCCTCTTGAAGTGGTTAAAATAAATTAACCATTTATTTTTGGTACAGTGACTCTGTGTCTTTCTTCCATCTTACTTTGGTGCTTTCTGCATCATTCAATATTTTGCCCGTTGAGTCTTTCTTTCTTTTTTAATTTAAGGTTTTTTTGTGTATTGTGTGAAAGTTTACAGGGCACATCATCAGTTTCACATTCAATAATTCATATAGCTTGTTTCATTACATTGGTTTTAATCCCCT